CATGTATGATCATGCCAGTCACAAACACAGAAAGAATCATTATGGGTCAAAGAAACCCCAGAAACGCAGCCAGCAGCCAAGAGCAGGGACAAAGAAGCGAGAGAGGGACGCACCACACGCATTGCAGATGGGGTTGCCCTCGGGCGTGCGGCGCCACAGCGGGGTATCGACCGTCTTGCAGTTCACACACGGCACCCGTGCGTTCGCGGTCCCAGTCCCTGCACCGTTGGCGGTGGCGCTGGCGACGAAGGTGAGCTCGCCGCCGTAGGGGCCGTCGTCGAGGCGGCGGCGTGGGGGGTCCATCGAGAGCATCCTTCCAGTAAAGACTAAAACGGTAGAGGAGTATAGGGTAGAGTAGGGTAGGGTTGTGTAGGCAGAGGCACTGAGACGAGACGCTGCCCGAAAAAGTGCGCCGCTGTGTTTATCTAAGATAACAGATCGGCCAATCACAGGCGGGGGATTACTTGATCCACTGTACATATTTACATCCCGCGTCCACGCTCCCAGGCCCGTCTGGGTGCCCACCGACGAAGCTGGACCCACCCCGCCCACGGATCCCGAGTCCCCGCCAACCACCCCCAGATACTATATCATAAATAAATAAGACGAGGGATCTGGAGGGCCGCGCGATAAGATCGATCTCGGATCCATCCAGAGATGCGATGCGATGAAATTCGAGACGATAATCTCAGACATCTGACGTCGACTTGTTGAGAACAACACTAGCCTCTTCTCTGAAACCTTCGTCTCCGTTCTTAGCCCTTTGTCTAAAAAAACACGTCCGTCCGCCGCCTTCGAATTCTCCTTCTATCCCATACATCACTTGGACTCCGTCATCGCTCGAGACAAACGCTCACATCGGCATCGGTGAAACTGCCACCACTCTGAAACACGATTAGATTTTTTTTTCACTGTCAATCAGCGGCAAACTCCTCTCCCCGCCGGACAACACGTAGGCTGATATGATATGATAAGTGCTCTGATAGTTGATAGGGTACGTCATTCATTTTGTGATACCCCTGCGCGGATGGTGGCTTCGTTTGGGCGCGGCGAGGACGACGGCGTCGAAGCACCCATCAGCGGCACCTCCCCTCACCTTTCTGGCGCAAAAACACCTCGGTCTGTACTGCGCATGGCGATGCCCAGACCTCCCTATAGCCTAGTCTCTCGAGCTCCCGCCTTCCGTTTTTTCTGGTGCGGTACCCACAAATAACCCTAGATGTTTGCCACTCCCAGTCAGAGTGCTAGTCTTCTCTTGCCTTCATGCACATCGACATCAATCACATTCTTCTCGCAAAATTGAAGCTGTCTCTCCTCTCTGTTCAAGTTAGCGCCACTCAACCCAAACTATGCTCAGACCCTACTAAAAATTTGCACCCATGCTTCCCTTTCCTGAATGTTACAACGCCTCCTCCTCTCCTCTCCGTCACGTCAACCCCTGTCAACCCAATTTTTTCCCCCGTCTTCTCCACGTGCTGCACCTCTTCTCTGTCTCGCCTACACCCGCCGCTTGATTTTGATCTAATCTGCCAATGCCGTTCCCACCTCAAGTCTAAAAACACTCAAAACTGTACCTCGCTGCCCACGCTAGGACCTCTGATAATGCCTTTGGAGGCTAGATCCCAAAATGGCCGAAATGGCCCATTTTTGTCCGAACACATTCTGGGCGGATTGGCCATTTTTTGTCCGAACGGGATCTAGCCTATAATGCCGTAAGCTTCCAAAAAAGGAAATTTTGACGGCCACCAAGCAAAAATTTCGTTTCGGCTATCATTTTCGTGCTCTTTCAAGTGCAAATCGGCGCAACTTTTCGTCCGGAACGCGTTTACCCCGAGCTTTGTGCCAGTTTTGTGTCCCAGAAGGTCTCTTAATCTGCTCAGGCCGGTGATTTTTGTCCGAACCGGATCTAGGTGGGCGCGGTCAGACCCCCCATTTTTGTCCGAACTGGATCTAGGTGTCGAGCCAAAATCGCCCAAATTTGTCCGAACCGGGATCTGGCCTCCGAGGGTATTATCAGAGGTCCTCCCACGCTCCGCAGTACGATGTTTTTCTGCGTCGTCGGGGAGGTGTGTCCGGGGAATGCTTCCCGCTTCAAAACGTCCACACAATGGAAAGGCTTCCTTCGTGCGCACAATGAAGTCAGTACGCTGCAACTAGCCTCCTCGATCTACAGTCTAGTCCCTCCGAGTCGAGCTCTATCATCCGTTTTTTTCTGGTGCAGTATGTACCCTACACTCCAGTCTTCTCTGCGCCAATCACCTTCCCTCCTCTCTGTTCAAGTTGGCGACATTGAACCCAAACTACTACTGCACCCACGGCTCTTCTTGAAGTTCTTCCCTGAATGTTATAACGCTCCTCCCTCTCCGTCACGCCAACTTGAACCCCTGTCAATTTTTTTTTCGCCACGTGCGACACCTCTGTCTGTCTCGCCTCCTTCCAACTTCAAGTTCTCTGTCTCGCCTAAACTAGGCGATTTTGATCTAATCTGTCAGTCAATCCGTCAATCCTGTCTAATCTTCCTTCGAAGCCGGCCGTTCCCACCTCAAGACTGGAGTCTAAAAAAACCCAAAAACTGTACAACCTTCCTTTCTTCCTTCCAAAACTGTACATCGTTACCCAGGCTCACGTTCCGCAGCCTGAGTACGGTTTTTTTTTCTACGTCTACGTCAGGCAGCTGTGGGTTGTGGGATGCTTCCCGGTTGGAATCACTGGCATGAATTCCTTCGCATGGGGACAATTAAATGCGTACACAACGCGTACGCTGCGCCCTGTCGAGTCTCGGTCAAGCCCCGCTATCCTTCAAAGTTCGATGTTGATTTAATCTCTCGAGGTGCACGTACTTCCGCCCACCTCGCACCCCATCGTCAACCCATTCCTATCCATCCTCACCATCTAATCTGTCAGTCAATCCGTCCGTAAATCCTGTCTAATCTTCCCAAGTTCCTTCAAAGCCGGATCTGTTCCCACCTCAAGCCTAAAAGAACCCAAAAAAGAAACTCGGAACTCAAAACTGGGTATCGCTGCCCAGGCTCACGCTCCGCAGTAGGATGTTTTTTCTGAGACTGTGTGGGTTGTGAACTTGAAATGCTCAAGAAATGCGTCCCCGGTTCGATCGCCCATCCTCCTTCCTGTCGCCTCAGTCTTCCGCTTCACGCCCGCTGCTGTTTGATTTAATCTTCCAATATCCAGCCTCTGTGCCCACCTCGGAACCTGTCTTACGCTTCCCATCCTCCCACCAAAAAATAAACAACACCAACACCAAAACCAAAACAATATCCATACCAGACCGATCCACTCGCACCCACACTCCGCACCCGCACTCACTGCGGACTTCATCTCGACGCACATCGTCCCAACCCTCGCTCCGGACCGCTGTGTACCGTACTATCAGTGTGCGACCTCCCCCTCGAACCGTGCGACCCCTCCCCCTCGACGATCTCTTTTTCTCACCAGTGTGGGTGCGCGTCCTCGAGCCGGGGGTATTAAGAGGGGCGTTCGCACGCGCACGCCGGGTAGACAGGCACTTGGGCTCGACGTGAAGTTCTGGAATCTGGTTCGGTGAGTCGCGCTTTCTGCAGAGCGGGATTTATTTAAAATATTTCCTCAAGTTGGAGCTAAGTTTACCCAGCGATCAGCACGACTGCACTCTATCTATCTAACGAGTCGTAATGAAGACGATGAAGAAGATATGGGAGACTAAAGATTCTCCTAGTTCCGAACCGTTGAATCTTGGTTGGTTTTTCGAACCGCGTTCTGCCCCTCGTTCTGGTTGAACGTCGAACGTCGATCTTCCGAGACGGGCTCCGAGTCCTTCCTCCATGATCGTCGCATCCCCATGAAACTACACGACGCGCACTCTATCATACTGGCCCTCATCAAGACTTTGAACATAAAATAACTCTGCTACTACAATTACTTCGACGGCACGTTTCAACTTAATCGGACGCTGGACTTCCAAACATTATCTGTCTGGAGGTGCTAGGAAATATGACGGGCCATGCGTTGCAAAAATGAACTGAGAAAAAAAACTTAGAAAAGTCAAAAAATAAAAATTTGGGGACATGAAAATAAAATTTGAGCGCTCAAAAAATAAAATAAAAATGGGCTGAAAGCTTCAAATACCTCCAGACTGGGTCCATAGCCTCTAGTTGAGTATACAATGCATGTTACTTGAGTACTTGGGGCAGTCTGTTCACTTCTGAGGCTGGGGAAGATAGAAAACTTGGTTTTATTCGTCGGATCTCATTCGTAATATAGCACGACACATGTGATGGCCCATCATTCCATCAGTGTTAGCTTCCGAACGTCGATGCCGGAGAGGCCGGCAGATAGCAACTGTAAACAACATAGCCACCTGTTTGGCTGGAACTTCCTACGTCAATTTCTGCTCTCTCTAAAGAAAATGGGTAGTGGGGCCTAGAAACTTCCAATAAAGTACTGGAATAAGTCAACACATTCTTTCAAGGACCTCTGTTGTCAAAGGTGAATATTTTTGTGAAATGAGGTCTTGGAGCAAGAAGTTCGGGAGCTATAGGCTCGGACTGATGGAATGATGCGCTATCAATCGTCGATCCTGCAAGGAAAACTGTCTTCCCCAACCCCCGCAAGTGAACAGACTGCTCCAATTACCTGAGTACATGCACAACATACTCAACCAGAAGCTATGGACCAAATTTGAAGGTATTTGCAGCTTTGACCCCAAAAGTTTTTTTTTTCTTGACCACTCAATTTTTTATTTTTCGACTTTTCCAATTTTTTATTTTGTTTTATTTTTGCAACGCATGGCCCGTCATAAGGAAACGTGGACTTGGTGTGAACACGGCAAAACGATTCATCGAGAAATTTCGAACGTGGAAAAACGAAGTTCAACAGAAAAACGAGGTTCAACACTGGCAAGTACTCTCGCTATTTTATTATTCCATCTAAAATAAATGCTCGAGTGGGACTTGCAAAGTATTCAAAAAATGACCGTGATCTCCCATAGCCGACTTTGACAGGATGGCCGCCTGGCGAAATGGCATCGCGTCTGACTACGATGATGGATAAAGTCGTAAATTATTTAATCAGGAGAATGCAGGTTCGACCCCTGCGGTGGTCATTTCAGTTGTAATTGTTTCTTTTTCTGTCCTGTCACCGTGCCCCGTGTTCTCTATATTTTGTTCCCCCAACGAGTTCTCTTTTTTGGTGCAGAATATGGCGATGTGCATGAGCTTCGAGTATATCTGAGGTTAATTAGAAATGCTATAGTATGGATCACTTGTGCAAGACACAGCACTTCAACTGAACTCAAAGAAGAGTGGTATGGAGTTGGATTATTGATTGGCTGTATTGCCTGAGTTATTCAAAGAAAAGAACTCAGAGCCCGTTGTTACATGTGGAGCTGTCCGTGTGCATAAAAAGAATGACCACCGCAGGGGTCGAACCTGCAATCTCCTGATTACGTTCATCGTCTAACGTCCCAATCGTAGTCAGACGCGATGCCATTTCGCCAGGCGGCCAATAAAGAATTTGCGAATTTGACGGGTGAGTGGGGTGGCCGGCTCATTGCACTCTGAAACCTCGAGTCTTTTGCGCCGCTTGGTCCCAGATGACCAGCACCTTGAGGCCGGCTCGGAGCGACTCGCGTAGCCTAGCCCACGCTGGTCTAGGACCGAGGCGAAGATCCAGCGGCGTTCCCGACGCAGAACGCGCTTCTCACCATCACCAGGGACCTCTACGAATTGCGGCTATACGAGAAGCTCATGGTCCCGCACGTCAAGCATCCGTACATCACTGCTATGGCCCGCTTCGAGTCTCGCCCACTTCGACTAATCAAGGGTGCCAACGGCCTGTATACTCGACACGGCCTGCGGAGACCTCAAACATCGGTGAGAGATACCGCCCCCGTGCACACCTTGTCTCGGGCCTCTTCTTCGACGCGACGGGTAGCGCTACTGCGAGCCCTACGGGAGGAACTGCGCCACGCTCCGATATCCAGCTGTCGTTGGGTTCTGCACTTCCTCGCCTCCTCCCTCCCCTCACGTCACCTCCGCTGTGTCGCCCTTTCCGTCGACCAGCGCAGCCGCGTTCTCCGGAGCCAAACTGCGGGTACCAGTATGCAAATCTAGAGCACGTCGTGGATGCAGGCTTCCAGGCCATCGAGCACTACCCCGGGCGGTCAAGACCCAGAATCCGCAACGAAGGTGCTCCGCAACGGGAACACGAACACGACGCTAGCGCGCGAGGCGCTCGAGATATGGCCTGCGGCTCCAAGTGTGGAGACTTGATGCTCGCTACTCTTCATTCCCTGCTCGCGATTCTTTGTCTGGCCGCGCAATCGCATCGCACCTCGGCCTCTCGACACGACTCTCAGCGGCGTCTCGCAGCCTCTCGGAAGTCGCTCTTTCGCTGCAATGACCGTTTTTTTAAATGCTTGAATACTTTCTTGTTCTGAGCCACATCCCCAGTGCGCATGTCCCGATCCTTCCATTCTCCCTCGCCGCTACCGAACGAAGCTAGCGAGACGTGCGGCCGCTAAGTCGGGCACGGCTGATGTGAGCTCGCTGCGAATGGCGGTTAGACTGGGGTGTATATCCCTGGCCGTATCCGATCCTAATCTTCAGTTGGGGTTGGGGTGCGAAGGGCAGGATAGGGAATCTGCTAAAGACCTTCCTGTTCCTGGCTAGCCTTCTATCTGCGGCTCTCTCCACCCCACGGCTTCGACGCCCAATGTCCTCTCCATCCCTGTGTACAAGAAAGTTTCCGCCTCCAGGGAGGAGCATCAAAGTTCTGATTGTGCGATCTCATCCGATGCTGCGGCGACTCTCCCGCCACGACACCTACGCCATCGACGTCGATACTGGATCTTCCAACACTGGGTTGGCGTGAGTGCGATCTTCCCTCTCGCGACGGCTCCACTGGCAGGGATACTGATGATTTTGCATTTTGTCAGGTCGGTGCGGAGTACATACTCTCCTGGTTCCGCTGCTTCCGAGAGAAGGTGAGCTTACTAGATCCATCGTCTCTTTTACCTCTGCTCTGGGCCTTTTTTCTCTCTCATTCTCTGCGGCCCAGCACTCTGCATCGGGGACTTGCGCTTACTGCTCGAAGCACTTACACGCAGCTCTCTTCCCCTGTTTTCTATGCGTCTTTTCTCCTTTCTGCTTTTCTGTTTTGTCCGCGCTCGATATCGGAGTGGTGTACTCTCCGTCCTACTCTCCCTCCCTCTCCCCTGTCTCTCATTTAATCCTCCGCATCATCACTTACATACTGACCCCACCTCAAATAGGCTCCACCGCCCCACCTCGAGGAAGAAGACCGAGATCAAGCGGAGGGTACGACCCAGGAGGACCAGGTACAGACGGGGGTGAGTTTTTTTGTTTTGTTTTCGTTTTCGCTTTCGGCGAGCCAGTTTCGTTGCGCCGTTCGGCGCGGCTGGGAGGGAAGGACGTCTCTTTGGCGTCGTCTCGATGTCTTGGATGTGGGCGAGGAGGAGACGGCAGTTCAGATAGAGCCGATGCCGATGTATCTGTGTCGTCTCGCGTCGCAGTCCCATCGCGAGCAGTGGCATCTCTGGATCTACTTCTTGCCTCGACGATCGCTTGATTGGCCCCGTCCGATCCTGACGCACTCCTCCTCGTCTCGGCTATCGTGTTGCTTTCTTTCTGCGCTCTCGCTGACGCTCTGGCTCTAGCAATGTCCGACCAGGCTGCGGCCGAAGCCCTCGCCTTCTCACTTACCCACACCCGACCGACGAAGACCGCCTGCATCTTTTGGCATCTGCCTCTGCCTCTGTGCCTGCCTCCCGAGAGGACGAGAGACAGAGCCGCGTACATGAGTAGCACGCCCACCGCGAGCAGGAGCAGACCGCAGACCGCACGCGCCCATGGTTCCCAGCAACAAGGCCGGGGGCGGGGGTGGGGTGCACATGTGGGTACATCGTCCGGGGTGCCGAGTCGTGGAGGTGGAGGGTTAGGGGTTAGTTTCGGCGCCCTTCTCAAGATTTTTTTGGACGGGGGCAAGGAGGATGCGGCCTTTCATGGATCCAATCTTTCGGCTTGCCTGGGCGATCGCTTGATTGGCCACGCCCAATACGTACCGCGCTCCGTTCATCGCCTTTCTTTCATCAGAGTCCTCCCTAACGCTCTGGCTCCTCGATGTCCGACCAGGCTGCTGCCGAAGCGCTCGTCGCGTTGGCCGCCCGCGAGTCGCCTCCCCGCCCATACCTGACCAACGAAGACGCCTTGAAGAGGAAGCATCAGCGCCTGCATCCACACCACCTGCTTTTGCCTGCCCCCGGCCATGCGGCCCGTGCTTCCGGAGAAGACGAGAGAGAGAGCCGCGTACACGAGTAGCACGCCCAGCGCGAGCGGGAGCAGCGTGACAGCGACCGCAAGCGCCCGTGGTTCGCCGCGGTGGGCGGCCACATCGCCAGCATCAACAACGGCCACTTTGACCTCCCGCGGCCGTTCCCCGGCAACAAGGTGGGGGCGGGGTGCACATGTGGGGTACATGCGCAGCGCGGCGGCCGGGAGCTCGGGGGTGCCGAGTCGTGGAGGGGCGGGCTCGCCTGTGGGGGCGCGCCTGGGGGGTACACGCTGCCGCCGCCGGTGCCGCAGATGCGCGGTGGGCCGGGGGCTGGGGCGGGGTACTATGGAGGGCATTAGGGGGTTAATGGGAACGGCGTTGGCGGCATCAACAATGGTGGAAATGGCGGGGGAAATGCACACGGCAACGGGGGCGCGCTGACGGTTAACGTTGACGATCTGGAGCGGCACTATTTCTAGCTGCACGAGTCGAGGCGGAAGACGGAGGAGCTGCTGCGGGAGACGGAGAGGATGCGAATGTGGTGAAGAGGGGGTTGGATGAGATGCGTGCGGGGGGAACGGCGAACGTCGGCGGGGGGAGTGGAGTGGAGGGCCAGAGATGGTTCCGCTGCGCGAAAGGGAGCGTGGGCGCAGCCGCGAGGGTGGGAGTGTGTGGCCCGTGAATGGGGACGCACCCATGCGCGAGTAGAGGGCGCTTCGACATCTGCGCCTCCCTCGACTTGACCTCGTACTGTCTGTTTTCTTCTCGTTTTCGTTCATCTCGCTCTGCTTTCTCATCTCGCTTAGTTCGGTTCCTCTTGTTCTTTTTACTCATCCATGCTACCTTACCCTCGCCTCCTAGTATATTCTTCATTTCGAGTCTCAGATTTTCCGCGTCTCCACATACACACTTGACACAGTATCCTTCCTCCATTCTTCTTCGTCCTTCGTTGTCGTTCCTCTACCGGGTTGTATATCTTATTGTAGGCTATTAGTCGCGCGGCCGTCCTTCAGAGTCGTTACTACTTAATCAACGCCGCCCAGGCTTGGAATGTTATTTCTGCAACGCCGCGCAGGCTCCAATTATTTTGCGGATTTCTTTTTATTTTCTTGAGAGACGGTTTGTGTGCCTTGCGCGACGCGGGTGTTTTGGCCCAATCTTTGATCCATGCATGGCTGTGCCGCGCTGCTCTCTACGAAACCCTTGGCTCTTTATAAATTCGGTCCAATCCAGACAGTAGCAAGCCGCTGGTTCTTCCACACCTAGGGTTTCACTAGTTTCGGTACTTCGCACTGATTGCTCCGCCATCTCGGTGCTCACCCTCGTTATGATAGCTCACACCTCAGATGCCGGTCTGGTGCTCTGAATGTGCCAGTGGCGCACTGGCCAATACCGTGACCGCGGCAGAGGAATTGGACTGCTCGCCGGGCACAAGACATCACGCACTCCTAAACTCCAATGAAGTACCTCTGGACTCCGAGGTTCCCATCATCAAAGCGGCGATTGCGAAGGTCGACGCTTCGTTAGCCTGCATAGACGAGGAGATAATGCAGCTCCAGTCCCGTTTGAAACAGCTGGAAGCCGAACGTGACCGTCTGTCCAGCTACCGCACGCAGAGTTCTGCCATCCTCTCTCCACTGCGAAGGATGCCACCCGAGATACTCGGGGAAATATTTTCGTGGACAATTCCACAGGATATCCGACGCGAGGAAGGATACAGTCCATGGTTCTTAACGCACATCAGCCGCCGCTGGCGAGAAATCGCCGTCTCGACGTCCTCATTGTGGTCCCTTGTGACTATCGATTTCATCGACGAAACGGGTCCACCGCCAATGCCCATGCTTGCGACTCAGATCGCACGCGCGCGCAAATTAAAAATCCGCTTCTATGGCAGCGAAGCATCCGACTCTCAGCCTCAAGTCGGGATCTTCCAGTATTTGGCACAGTACTCTTCGCAGTGGGAAGAACTTCATCTTGACTTCATTCCCGCCATTTCCCCCATTCTGGCCGACATTCGCGGTCGAGTCCCGTTGCTTCGCATTTTACGGATCGAATGGTTTGAAGACATTGATAGCGCACCGCAGTCCGTTGATTTCGCGTCGGCACCGTCCCTTGTCGACGTCAGCATCTTCAACCAATATTTCTCTATGCCCATTTCCCTCCCGACCGAATGTCTCACCCGCTACGATCTCAATGCCCCATGGGAGACGCA